GATGTAACTACAGCCCAGCCCATGCAGCAGTATATGAATGACTAACCTCGTATTGTGGATGGATTATCTCAGTTGTTCTCCTGGCTGAAGTTTGGTCCTTTTACAGCATCCTGCCATGCGATTACATTTGTTCCTGACCACCGAGAACACTCACGTTAACTTTTATCGAGTGGAAAAAAAGTTAGCTTGTTTATATTATGCTAACATAGCTGTGTCGCTAGCGGTCACGTAGCACATCATTATATACCAGCTAGCCCAACTTCAGTAACCCTACAAACGTCACTGCTGTTTAGTTTTCTGTCTTCATTTATGTTGGAAGTGATAGCAGAGCTGTACGTTTTAATTTGTTTCCAAAACCCCGCAGTCAGGACATGCTATATTGTATTTAGATAGAAGCTAGCGAGCTAACTCCCTGCTAACTTCTAACTCCGTTAAATGTCATAAATTCTGTTTTCATGGATGCCTGGATGTTAAACTCAATTGTTACACCTGGTAGAGCAGAACGCTGATCATTTTATTAAAGATGAAAGACTTTAGACAGTTTTTCAACTCTCAGTAATGCCATAGTGATCGTTTGACCTGCAGCGGAGTTTAGACCCAGACGCGGCTAGTGACGTTAGACTGAACGACCGGATAGAAACTCCGTCATGCTAGCTAGTAGCAGTACCAGTTATTGTAACTGACTGTAAAAGGTCAGCATAACGAAAATAAAGTCCACCTAAATTTGGTCTCTGCTCCTCCTGCCTTTCTGTCATCCACCTGCCAGCCTGTTGCACCTGCTGGCCTCCACCACTTGCTAATGTTGCTGAATCTGTGGAAGCTCCGCCATAGCCATCACCAAACAATTGAGTTATTTTTACACATCTCCCAGCATCTGGCCAATCCACCACCTTTCAGTGTTTATACCGTTACGGAAAAAAACGAAAAAACAAAACATCGGCCCATAAAAACGAAAAAGTCCAGTCCAGCTATGTATGATAGGCACATGAGCATCTAACTTCCCTTTAACATCGTGCAGATAGCCTTGTGAGTGTGTTTTATTTACCTGCGGAAGAGATGAATTATGGGAAAGTGGCAACGTTTCGGAGGCGTTGTGTGTTATTGAACCCTGGTATACCTGTGAATGATGCACTGCTGCAGACACCTCTTCATGGTAACTATTGCCAATAGCAGTGAACCTCTCATTCTGGAAGTGTTCAGAAATGGTTTGAAGGAATTCAAGGTGTTGACTTGGCCTTGAACTTACCCGATCCCATCAGTCATCTGTGGGATGTGCTGGAACGTCCATCCCTCCATTTTCTTCTGCATACCCATGCCCGCGTTGAGGGGGCTGCTGCCTAAGCAGAAAGGTCCTACCTTTCCCCAGCCACCTCCTCCAGTTTATCCAGAGGAACACAGAGATGATCTCTCCAGCGTGTCCTGCACCTCAACTCCACCTCACCATGCTGGAACAGCAAGTCAGTTTCTTTAAAGCCTCTCAGCTTTCAGGACATTACTGGGATGTCTTAAGAGGTCTTAAAGAGACTCCTCAGCAGGTCAGAGCTGTGTTTCTTTGAGGGGGAACTACACAAAATTGGGCAGTTGGTTTTAAACATTATTTAGTTAGCTAACTGTGGCTCAGGAGGTGCAGCAGGTCATGTCCTAATTGGAGGGTTGGTGGTTCAGTCACCGGCTGCCTCAGTGTGCATAACAAAGCATCCTTTGGCACATTGAGCCCTGAGTTGCTCCTGATGTGTAAGTATTAGATAGAAAGCACTTTGTTGCAGAAAAATGCCTGGGTGAATGAGAGATGTTGCATAAAATGCCTTCAGTGCTCGTGTAGAGTAGAAAAGTCAATGCATAGACGTTCACACAGAACCTTGATTTTAGGAGCTGTTCAGAATGCGATGTTTGCAGTGCTGTGTTTCTTATTTTTGTGGAAGTGTGGATAAAAAAGCCCAGATTCTAAAGAAATAACCCCTCCTGTTTGTTCCTGTCACAGCCGAGTTATTTAGTCAACCATCCTTATCTTAGAATTAAGCCCCGTGGCAACAACCATAATGATGCGCTCCACTATAATCATGAGCTCGAGCTCTTTGTGTTACACAGCATCAGGTAAACACATCAATCCTCAACTTGATTTTCAACATCGGGCATGTATGCAAAATTTATGCAAATCAGCATCCGAAACCATGTGGGTAAGTGTGCTCTGTTATGTTTTTATACTATATTTAAAAGATGACACAACTCAAAATGCCTAGTGGGTGAAAAAAAAGAGAACAATGACAGTGCAGGACCTCTGCTTTTGGATGGGACATATTTTGGATTCATTTCCCCCGCCCGTCTCCTCGTGACACTGTTGCGTAGCTGAAGGTGCTGAGGAGAAAGGGGTCGTCTTATCAGAGCTTGACCTGAATTGCCCTCTTGGAAGGCTCCGCTGTGACTGACACCTCTCTCCTCTTTGTCTTCGCCACTCCAATTAGCTCGATGACAGGTGCATGTGGAGAAACGAGACAATCAATTACCATCCCCTCTCGTCTGCCTCTGTCCTCTCCTCATCTTCCCTGTGTCTTTATCACACTCTGCCCTCACCACTTCCTTTCTATTACTCTTAATTTATTGGCTTTTCTCCCTCTTTTTCTTTCACCATTTATACCTCATGTGGATTCACATTGTCTCCTCATAAGATATCCTCTCCTCTCTCTCATTGCAGCAAGCCAACAGTTGGGCTGACAGAGAGAAAGAAAGAGGGAGCATGTCATTCGGGCTGCGATGCTTCATCCTGCTTTCCACTCAGACACACTTTGCAAAAATCACTGCCAGACACAAGACAGGTAGCAGTAAACCAGAACAAAGTCACAATAAATGCTACACAGTCCTCAGTGGGATTCTCTTGACTGTGGCTTTGTCTCATTATGGAGGCCGGCAAGATGCATTTCTTGGGTCATTTATTTGTTAGACTCTGGAGTCAAATGTATGTGGAAAATCAATGGGCACCCTAGGTTATTTAAAACACTGATGTCACTGCAGGTTTTAGGGTGGGTCTTCTCCACATGAAGTTTAATGGTGGAAGTTTGCCACCTGCTGGTAATGAACACCTTTTCTGGCGTCTTTGATCAAAACCTCTCTCGTGGTTTCCTTTACGACGGCTCACGCACTCTGACATTTAGTGCTGCCGAATGTCTAGGAAAATATATTCTGTTTAAGGTCAAATGTATAGTTGACTATGAAGGTAACATTAAAGTGGTCCACACTGCCTGCGCCGTCCACATTTTCAACCCAGTTTTCAATTGTGAAGTTGCTTCGGGGGGGAAAGAGATCTGTAATATTTCATGTGTCATCCAGTTTTCAGTTACTCGCATACAGGATGTCATCTGTTGAGTGGTTGGAAAGTTCAAGCCTTGAATTCATTCACAGTGCAGTGAATTCCTCCAAGTGTCCGACTGTCACTTACACAGATTAAAGTGCAGTTTAGCTATTTTAATATTAAATTGATTTACCTGAACTGTGTCTGAAAGCAAGCGACTCCAGAGACTACAACTATAGCTCATAATTAACTCCCCAAAATGTGTTGGAGCTAAAAGAAAACTATTCTGAAACTAAGTTTAAGGCTTCGCTATAACATGGCAGAAAGGAGCAAAATCAGACTGTTGGAGCATTCTTACAACTGTTACCAAATTAGACACACTTTAACTATATTATACACACGATGTATCTTAATGCAAACAACACAGTAACAGAACAGCTGGTTCAGTTTTGTTCACAACCTAAACTACAAAAGTAAAAAAGTAGTGAAAATCAGAATGAGCCTCCAGACTATCTAAAGTAGCACAAACAGAAAATTATGCACTTCCATTTATTTATTCTCCACCACATCACTTAATAAAACACATTTATTCATATCAGCTAACTCATAAATTCATTTGCCATTTAGCTTGGGTAGTAATTGTTTGCTTTCTGAAATACATGAAAAGCTAGCACTACTCAATCCTGAAATTCTATTAGGAAACTTTGAGGCGTCTACAACTTGAATGCTGCATTAGGACCATATTAGGTAGAATAATTAACCAATTAAAATGGCACTACTGAAAAAAAAATTGAATAACATTTAAAATGTTAAAACCATAAAGTGAAAAATAACTTTTTCGGTCAAGAAACCAGAACTCTGAATAAAACTGATCACAGAGCAAATCCTCCAGTTCTTCTTTTCCCCCTTAAATATTTGTCAAATTCACTTTGAGAATTTTCCTTTTAACAAATTTCCTTAGTGTATTGGGTTACACATTTGCTGAATATCCCTAGATATCAAACGGGCAGAGCTACCCTGTGTCAATAAAGGAGCAGCTTAAACTAGCTTTAATAACAAAATACATTTAGATTTTTTTCTCTATCAAAAAGACTTTTAATACTGAATACTTGTACTACCACTAAGTCCTACTGCTGCTTTGCATATACTGGATATCTACATAGAGGTAACTTTCACTGTTTCTCTCCCTATATCCTGCTTGAAAGTGGTAAAAAGTTGCTTACTGTAGGTCTTAAGGTGTAACCTTCTAGGGAATTATGTTACTGTAAATAAATGAATGAATTTGCACCCATAACTGTAAATGTGTTATATTAGGACAGCATAAATTAGCAGAACCATGAAGAATTTGTGCACAATAATGTCACACAAAGATGCCTGGAGTGAATTTATCGGCATAGACATCTGAAAATTTTCCACTCCATATGTGTAAAGACAGGAGGAGGGATATTGTGAACAGAAGGCACAGTCTTTTCAGCAGGACCTAAACTTCAACCAGACAGATTAAAAAAGAAAAAAGAAAAATAGGTTTACAGTCACAATGTGTTTATTATTTAATGTTTAGACAAGTCAAGCAACTGATCATTTCTTTGTCACTCTGACCTCCAAATATAATAATTTCCCAATCATTCAGCAATTTCTGAAAACATCACCAGACTAGATGTCTTCTTTTGCTAGACGGGAAAATAAAGAAAGAAAGAAAACATCAGCACATCGGTTTCTTTTTTGAATGTGTCATGGCACCATTTATTTTGTAAAGTTATGCATAAACCTTCCAACTTGATCATTGTACAGAATATGTTGAACTTCATGACATTATTAGAATATCAGGGAGTCAGATCAGCATTGCCAATAGTAGCAGAAAGAAAGCAGCATTTGCCAGGAGCTGACACTGAACGAGCACGACCGCTCCTTGGAGAAGAGGGGAACAGGGCGAGACACCCAGAGGCAGATGAGGAAGCATGACATAAAGTGTTGGAAGGGATAAATAAGCATCAAAGCCACTAGGCTGTGAGGAAGAGAGGGAAAACACTCAAACATGGTCACGGGGAAAAAGAAGAGGGAGAATCACACGCAAAAGGAGAAGAGGAGCAGATGAGAGGCAAAACACCCCTCAGAGCGAAGAGGACGAAGGAGTCAGCACAGAAATGCAACAGGACCAGATCAGAGCCGGCAGACTCTTCATTCTAGTTAACACCACGCCTAGAATTTATCTGAAATTCAAGACTCAAAACACAGGTCATTTTAACACAATGGGATCCATCAGCAGTGCAACTCTGGCCTCTTCAGTCCGAATACAGTCCTGCAATTCAGCAAGGTGTGCTAGGGTGCTTTTATGCTAGCGAGCACTCGGCTCTCCCACTAACCCCCGTGTGACTGAAGCAGGAGAAGCAGCCAAAAACTGTAACACCATGGCCTAAAGCATGCAAGCAATATGGGAAACACTTTAAAAAATGAAAAGAGAGAAAATAAATACATCTTGGGATAAAAAAAAAAAATCTTAATACATTATCTTAAAATTTTCCTTTTCTTGTTTTGTGTTTCATATATATATATTCTCAACACACTTCTTTGTACATTTTGGTATAAGTTCTCTTTCTTGCAGGGATTCAAGGGATATGGGTGTTAAATGGTAAAAGGGGAGGGGGGTGAGGTTCTGGCGCAATCCCACATCCCTGATTGCCTTGTGCTGAGGAGGAAGAAGAGGCGGAGGAGGAAGAGGATGGGGGGGCTCGGCATCGAAAAGATGACTCCTCCCTTCAAATGTTTGCTCACACTTAAGTCTCTCATTCTCTGTGGCAACTGATGGAAAAAACAAAACGGGGGAAAAAAAAAAACAGGGCTCAGCAGTGAGAGGACAAGCTTATAAGACGTCCAGAAAGTCCAGGACATGAGAAGTAGGAACAGACTACAAGTCGGTACTTCCTCTTTGGGACCACAGCCAAAAGCTGCTGCACAGACTTCCACTATCTCTTATCTGAGGGAGAGAGAGCAAGATCTGGGATCAGAAAAGGAACAGATACAGGAAGTGATTCATAAATTAAGAACCAGTTATTCATTTGTCAGCGCTGAGCATGAAGTGAGATACCTTTATTTCCATGCGTGTCTGCTGCTGATCTCTCTGGCCTTTGCTGTATTAGACTGTTGTACTTGGCCTCAACCTCCTGTGGGAGAAAAATAATTTACTGCCAGATTACACAATAAAAATGACTACTGTGTATGTGCATGATACCAGTTATTGTGTGTGTGTGTGTGTGTTTCAGAGCTGTAAAGGATTAAGTGTCGGTTACCTTCAGATAATTGAGGTTGGCCTGAAGATTTCGAAGGTGAGAGAGGACCTGTCTGCTGAAAGAGGAGAGGCTGCCGGCCTGTGATGTTGAAGAAAATCTCAAATTGATGCCCGAGTCAGCAGCGCAGCCTTGGGAAGTGCTCAGCTGCTTCCCTGTGGTTGTTGCCAAGATGTCATCGTCTGTGCTGCTCTCCCCTGGGCCACCGTAACCCTCCAGGACTAAATACGCAGCTGAAAGAATCAAAGGAAAACAGGAAGGATCAGGACGAGGCGAACATTTATGTTTAATGTCAGTTTATTCTATTTAAACCATGAGTTGTTCTGACTGCCCAGACCTACCATAGTCATCAGTCGAGTCAAAGAAGCCGGTGTCTCCTGAACCCAGGTCCTGAGCCAGGTCGTCTGTCTGGGAGCCGGTTTTCTCTGAGCCGTTGTGGACCGTCACTCGTGCACGGCTGTCTATGGGGGTGCGCAGAGAGGTGGTCCTGAGGAGGCGAGCCCCTGTGGAGCGTTTAGTTTGCTCTGCAGCTTCCTGGGACATAAGCTGGGTCACTAACACGTGCTTTAATGCTGCCACTGAGCAAAAAAAAAGAAAAAAGTGATAGATTTACAGAGTACAGCTGGATCGCATTTCATGTGCATCAATCCATCGGTTCTGTGCCCCTTACGTGTTTTCAGTGCTTCGTCTGCCCTCGAGGGGAACATGCTAAACGAGGCTCCTCTGCAATCCTCGGCCACTGGATAAGAAAGTTCTGGGTCCACAAAGCCTTCTTCTTCCTCCTCCTTCTCCTCCTCAGTCTTCACTCCCTCAAATGGATTACTGCCAGGTAGCGAAGTCTGCAGTGCGCTTCTACAGACTGGACTGCTTTCCTTATCTATGAAGGTATAATTAAGAGTTATCACAGGGGTTTAATTACAGAAGTATAGCGACACATATTTAAGTAGGACGAAGAAATGGATCGAGGAAATGAGTTGCTCCAGTTACCTGTGGACTGGGTGCTGCCAGTGGATGTGCGGTCCGTGTCTCTACTCAACCTGGAAACTCCCGTTGTAATGATCTCCACGCCGTCTCTTTCCCCACTGGCACACGAGCAGAATCATGTGTTAATAACGAGCATAAACCCTGACCCACTAGATGTGCTCAAATTAGTAAGTAACGTACACGGTCTGAGGTAATGGTATGACGCTGTGAGGCTTAACTTTCATGGCTTCAGCTCTCTGCGTGATTAGACGCTGCCACCTTGTGCAGGGAAATGAAACAGTCATCAGCTCGTATAACAACCGGAACAATGAGATTTAAATGAATCAAAGGGGATTTGCTCTCACGTTCTCTGATCTGAGACAGTGGGCGCCATTAGCTCGTAGATTTGGGCTCCGTTTTCCGACATCGAAAGAACAAAGAAGGACTTGTTGTCTGGCAGAAGAGAGGCTTATTAATGAATATTACTCTACCCTCTATGGATGGAGCCTGTATTATTTCATACCTTATTCTAGTAATAAATCCTCAGAGTTTATGTGGTAACTGACCTGTGGCCACTGAGCGCACCAGCACCGTGTTGAGTTTGATGATAGGGCTGAAGATATGTTTGGTATCTGCAGTGCCCGACAGGTTTTTGCTGTGACACTTCAGTATCAGACGCTCATCTTGTTTCTGTAGGAGAACCAGGATGTCCTCCAGGAGGAGTGTGTAGAGCTCTGAGAGAAAATAGAAAGATGTGGTGTAAGTAGTGGTCACCTTCCAGCTAAACAGCAATAGTGAAACTATCAATCAGAACAAACCGATAGTTTTGTCCTTGTTCACTTTCCATGACAGTGGACCCTCGTGCACCATCGTTTTCTTTGTCAGATCCAAGTTCTGAATATTATGGAACAGGAAATAAAAACAAAAGCTTTAAACTACTGGCTTCTGCTCTGTGCAGTGCTATTTTTCTATCTAGCACATATTTCAAACAGTGAATGTGGGTGTACAACAAGTGAGTATGCTTTAACTGAAGCTAAAAGAGGGCTGGGCAGACAACTCACCTTTAGCTCCAGGATCATTGGGTTGTCTGTCTGCTTTAGAGAAGAGAGGTCCAATCGTCTCTGATAGTCCTCCAACCTCTAGAGGAAGGGAGTGAAATAAACAGATGGGGAAAAAAATGGGATAAGTAAGTCCTCTTTAAGAGGATACTGCTGCCTGTGGAGCAGAAGCAGTGGAAATAAAATGCAGTTTGAGTAAAAAGGAAGCTGAAAAGGAAGTTGGAAAACAAATCATCCTAATGGCAAAAAACATGGAAAGGAGATTCAATTAAAAAAAACAAAAACAAAAACAACAACAACAACAAAAACAACAACAAAAAAACCAACCCACACCTGTTTGTCCTCAGATTCCTTCACAGCCTGGTTGACGTGACTGAGGATCTTTCTGCAGCAGTCTGCTGCCTGCTTAACTTTCTCCTTCTCCTCTGCATTGTCTGAAAGACGACATTAACCAGTAAGGTCTCCTCAGTTCTGCAGAGGACTGTCCGACAAATTGATATTTCGTCCGGCCATTAACACGCCATCATTCCCAAAAAATTATGACAGGGCTTTGGGGGGAGCGGGAGCACACTTCAGTCCCCTAATAGCTGGTTATTCTTTATCGTTAGTGCATTGTCTCGAGTGAGACCCAAAGGCCGCTGCAGACTAAAATGATGGCCCAAACAATGGGCACGACATTCCCCAAAAATGTGCACTGCTGCCGCAGGACCATTAAAATGATAATCTCTCTATTTGTCTCTGTAACTCATCAGTTCTTTTATGCTGCATTCAGATTATCAAATGCAAATGAGATACCATTATTATTATTTTTGTTTATGCCCATAGTTATGGGTAAATTCATTTACATGCTGTATTAAGTCACCAATAAGAACTAATTGGCACGGGGATTGTGACATGATGAATGTGAGAGAAAAGCTGGATATGATAACTGAACTCTGCTCAAGCAGGTCACATGAGGGCGTGCTGCAGCACTGCAGCCAAACTTAAAGCAAGAATTAATTCTGATCTGACATTTACACACTTTTACTGGTAAGCCAGGCTGCACCGCTACTGGGATGAACTAGATGGCTGATATACAGTGTTGGGTAAGTTACTTTAAATTAGTAACTTAGTTACATTACTAGTTACTTCTATCAACAGTAACTCAGTTACTTCAAGTTACTCGTTACTTTCAAAGTAACTAGTTACTAGGGAAAGTAACTTTGGTTTTACTCAGAATTCTCAGAATTATGGAGCATTATTATTTAATAAATGCTCATAATTTATTTTTGAGTAATTTCTTCATGTACATCTATGCTGTATGTTAATAAAAGTGCCTGTGTGACATCTGGGACACAGCTTTGACTAAACTCTCTTTTTGTTCTTACCTTATAGCTTTAAATCCAGCTAGGATACCAAGATGGCGCCGCGAATGGTCGCCCTGGTGCTTCAGTGCGTTACTTTTGTTTTGTTTTTGTGCATTTCTTCTGTGTCTGGGCACTCCTCTGGATATTCGT